CATATTTTGTAAATTTAATTTGGTAAAAATTTGAATAAAATAAAATTTTGTAAGTTAATATTTCAATTAAATGACATTTTTATTTTACATTGCATATTTTAAATTTCAATATAATTTGTTTATATCAATTTATATTATTTTAAAATTAAATTTCAATTAAATTATTATTTACTAATTTTTGTAACATGTAGTAAAATGATATGAATTGTATTTGGTGAACACAATTCATATAGTTATTATTTATTAATTTTCTTAACATTTAGTTAAATGTTCTTCCAATTATTATAAAGTATTTTGAAGGTTTCATTCTCAATTAAAAGAACACAATCAATAGGCAAAATTCAAAATCTCTTATAATAATGACCGAAGGGAGTAACATCTAATGATTTTTTTGATGAATCTCCCTTGGATATCAACACTGTGAACAGCTTGTCAAAATTTGGTTTAAGCGGGAACTTTTAACTTTTCATATTATTGTTTTCTTTGCCCCAAAGATGTGATATTCTTTGCAAGACTTTCTCAACAATTGCTCATCTAAGACATGAATTTTTTTCCCATGTTAAATTAGCAAAAGCTAGGTGAAGAAAAACACCCTAGTTTCGAAAAACTCTGCTTCCATAACCGTAATAGCAAGGGCCTAGATACACCAAATTGTGAAGAGCGGATACTCCTTAATTTCAACCATTATCAACTATGAGTTATTGTAAATTTTTGGAACATAGATTTTGGTCCTTCATTATAATTTTCAGGAAGGTAAGCTCTTCCCAATTTTGAAGGAGTCTTAGTGAAGAACTGTAATAGATGTGAAAGGTCAAAAAAGGAGCAGTGTAAAAGAATGTACTTCCCATCTGTCCTGAAATTATTGTCCAATTTGAATTCTCACTTTTTAGTATAATTTGCATTAAAGATAAAATTGCAAACTGGACAACAATTTTAAGACGGAGGGAGTATGACAATTGCAAATTGATTTTTTTGAAAAGAAAAGAAAATGACTAGATAAAGGACTATGTTCAGTATGTTGGAAAGAGTATTACTGGGGCAAAGTTGGTGTTTTACCTTGAAGGCAGATGCGTGCCTATTTATAGTCTTTGCTAGGTTTCATTTCTTATCAAAATTTTCTACGCCGCCTCCATCTCCGCGAGTCTCTCCATCCAGTCCTTATCGGAAATGAGAGAGGAAGAGGACACAATCTTTCTTTTATTTCAGATAATTAATTCTCCGCTTTGTGGATCTTCTTCAACTCTCGTAGTGAATCGTAATGAAATGAGGGTTTGGAAATCTCCTCTTCCGCAGGATTCCGAATGTTTAAAAAGCTCCCTTGAGTTTCTTGCTAATGTTATTTTGCACATTGGCTGCCCTCCAGTGCATCCGGGACATACCTAACTCCATCAGAGTTACCAATGAGCACTCAAAGACAGACACAAAGACAGACGCAGCTCTGGGGACAACCAAAGTTATAAATCGCAGCTGGGATTGGCGGCCTGGACAAACGTGAAGACTAAAGAGGGGATTGGAAGAGAGCGTTCAATAGTGGTAATTGATCAATCCCATGCCAGGCCTCAAAGATGGGAGCAAAGAGTAGATAGCATTCTTTTAGCCGATTAGCATATTCCATTAGTTTTGTCCCTTTTTAGTGTTTTGATTATGACAACAAATGTGATTTGTCTTTGCTGTCCATTATGCTACTTAGTTGTATTTATTTTACTGATTTCATTATGTTACTTTACAACTTGTTTTGCTTTTCCAGTAATCATAAACGAGAAATTTGAAGTTTGGATTTTTTTGCGATATGCTTTAAAATGCTCAGGTTTTATTTGAACAAAAATTAATAAGGTCAGAATAGAAAATAAGGAGTCTTGTGCAATTGTTGTATTTTGCACCAACTATTTAGTTTAAGTTTGGCTAGAGTTTTTGTAAGGATTTCAAGCTATATACTATGTTGTTTCTTAGCTTGTAAATTTGAGTTCCAATCTACACACACACACACACGCACTCTTGTCTCAAATACCATGTTTAGTTTTCGAGTTAATCGATTGTCATCACTGTCTTCATGAATACTCCCACCTTTTTCAGGGGTTATTCAACATTCTTGGCAATTTCTCTTTTGCTTTTAAAGGAAATATCTAAAGTTAACAATATCAAATGGGGAATATTAGAAGAAACCAAATAAGAGAGACATGGTGGAAATTTTGTGTGTTTATTGAATGAATATACTGGACTATTTTCAAGAGATTGGCTCCTAACAAATCTATAGCATTAACTATTAGGATAAGATCAAATCAAAGCTAATTGAATCATATCCCTTAACTCAAGCCACTAACCTAATCATGTCCTACAATTATGCTAACAGGGAAGAAGAATTTATTCAAATTTATTTTCCTGATTACAAGGAAAAAATGAAAAAAGAAAAGGATTAAAATGTGTTTCGACGCTAAAGAGGATAAAAACTGTAAAATTTTTTGTATTCCATTGAAGCAGATGAGTGTTATATAGTCCCTGTTACCTTGTTACAAACTCAGCATTCATAACTTTAAAAAAAAAAAAGAAAAAAAAAAGAAGAGGATTTTCAGCGGCCAAACTAATTAATTGACCGACTCTACTCAAATTTGATTGCATGAACAATTGTTAGGTTTGATTTATTGTGCAGCCTCGTCAAAGTAAATAAGAGTAAAGTTATGACTGACTATTGTGTTCCTTTGTTTCATTATACTCTCTCAATTCTAAAAATTAATATGATTTCAAGAACACAAATTGTGCTACGTTTTACAAAATCAAGCCACTCTTTTTTATATTTGTCTTTTAAAAAATAATAATAAGATTTTCTCAATTCTTACATGATAGAAATGATATGTTAATCTTCCACAAGAGAACTCGATCATCAATGGTGGAGCTAAAAATTCTAAATAGGAGAGTCAAAATGATATTTTTTCATATGGCAGGGGCAAAATGTTCTTTTTAAAAAAAAATTAACTAAAAAATTAAAATATTCTTTTTAAAAATTTTGGGAAGGGGAGCGACCGCCCTACTGGTCCCCAATCTCCGCCATTGATCGTGAATGAAATTGCTCCCGATGCTAAGTCCTACCTACCTCTAAAGCTTGTATGCCGTGTGTCAATACATGCATAAACTTCACAATTTCATAAATCACGATGGTGCTATTTCTCAAGTCAATAGTTGCGATGGATGAATAGTTACTGCAAATTACAACGGCCAACAAAATGGTGATGATGTTAACCTACAACAAAAATTGTATGAATGTACTTCCACAAATAAAAGTCAGGCTTTGTAGCTATCTCATTTGCAAATGATTGCGATGCAAGTCCAATAGGATCAACTTTAGCACTTTTATTTGACAAATTGCACTTTTTCTGGAGATGAGAGAGACAGTTCAAATGTTTTCCAATCTTATGAAATTGGGTTGTTTTTCGCCTCTTCTTGACTAAAAGAAATTAAATTTGGCTTTGTTGCCACGCTTTCGTAGCACCTATAGTTCTTATGTTCGATCCTAGTATCCAATGTATGTTACCTTGACACGGGGATTAACATCGATGTTAGACCAGTTTTCAAAAGATAGCGCCAATACAACCATACATGAGTCGTTGCATTAGTTTTGTATTTCTATCTTTTTTATGCATTACGAGGTTTTCATTAAACATGAGTCATTGATTACCTGTCTAGAAATATAATTAAGACAGATATAGCATTTCAAGTTTATTGCAAGCTGGAGTTTTGTTTGTTTTTTTTTTTTTTAAGCGAATTTGTCCGTCAATTCTCGAGGAAAATATATGATTATGAGCACAGCACAAAAAATGCAGAAGCAAAATTTTACTTCCTCCATCCCGAAATGATGGACCTCTTTGTATATTCATTTATAGGATACACGTTTTGGCATAGCTAGCCATGCTTACTCCTTCAATAAATTAAAACATTGAAGATGTCCTTGCGAGAGTTTTGCCTTGAGAAATGAAGATAATGTGAACTTTCAGCCTAGGATAAACTGTTTTCTTTTGTTCTTATCATACAAATAGAAGTTCCCCCCATATGTATGATTGTGCTATTGCACCACTATATATTGATCCCTTGAAAAAAAAGACAAAAAAAGGTTACAATATCGAACATGCTTGCGTTTCCAAGAGTAAGATGATTCTTATCAGATTTATTTGAAGGTTTAAAACATTAGAACTTGGAAGAACCAAAAAATTCTATCCCTTCATAAGTGCAACCATATGTGGGCTAGAAATTAAGCACAAAGAACCATGATGCTCCTGATTGCGCAAACTTGTGAACAAATACATATATCAAAATAAAAGTAAAGGATCATCTAGGGACGGACTTATGTAAGCCTATTTTATGGCGGAGTTGTGTGAACAATTAAAAGTGAAGGCAAAGATCCAACCAAGCGAATAAAAGATAGACTAATGAAGATTCAAAAGATCACACTAGAGCTTATGTATCAGATTGATGATATTCGGATTATATCTATTTTGCTGATAGACTAATATCAGATTGATGATATTCGGATGATTTGCAGTCTTCCCCAGTTGAATATATCTATTTCGCTGTTTACTTCTTTCGATGGCATGTTTACCGTGGGAGAGACTTCATTTGTCAAACAATTGAACGAAAAAGTTTCATACTTTCCATTATCGATCTCAACATGTATATGAATCAATATTTAATTGTTATTTAAACGAGCAATCTTGATTGATATCGTGTTCAAAGTGTCACCCTGCAAACGTGGGAAACTTCACAACATAGATAATAAAATTAAAGGTGTGACATAAGGTATATCAGTACTAGTTTGACTCGTGTATGCGGGAATTTTACTAATTCATCCATCAACTCTCAATCTAAGTTTAATCATACAGTTGTTTTTCTTTCAAAAAGAAAGGTGTGAGTTACATTTCGATAAAATTTCATGTTAACTAAATATTAAAACAGGACTCAAAAGGCTACATCTAAAAATAATCTTAAAGCATTCGTGTAATAATAATAGCCGGCTAATTATAGACCTCATCATCATCAGCTCCACCAGCGGAAGATGCAAACGGGTCCGCTGCTGTAGCCCCGGCTGCGTCTGAGAATCGGAATTCAGAGCCAAATCCTCTAGACTGGTGAAGAGTTTGAGCGAAAGCCTCATATTTCGGTATGTCGGCATTGCTGACGCTCCTACGGGCAAATTTCATCGACTCCTCAAAGTGAGCAGCTTTGATTTCAGCAACTTCTTCTTCCGCATCATCCTCTTCCATTGCATCTGGATGGTCCAGTCTCCTCTTCTCTTTTTCTCTTTCTTTCTCAATACTCTGTCGGATCGCATACCTGCAGGGGCGTTAATTGGCAAATCTCTGTTATGTCAGCACCACTAAATCCTTGAGTGAACTTGGCTAGAGCTTCCAAGCCCACATCCTTAGAAACCGGGGATTTCCTTAGGCATGCCTTGAAAATCTGGTGCCTGGAATCTTCATCAGGGAGAGGAATGTAAGTCAATTGATCAAGTCTCCCAGGCCTCAAAAGCGCAGGATCAATTATGTCAGGTCTATTGGTGGCGTCAATGACGAAGACGGTCTTCTTGGCGTTCATTCCATCCATTTCTGTCAAGAGTTGATTCAAAAATCAACACTTCCGGTGTCGCCTACGCTGCTTCCTCTCTGGGTAGCGATCTAATACAGTTCATCAAAGAAAAGGACACAAGGAGCAGATTGGCGAGCCTTGTCAAAAATTTCCCTGACATTGGCCTCACTCTCTCCAAACCACATGGTCAGCAACTCGGGACCCTTGATACTAATAAAGTTCGCCTGACACTCGTTGGCGATGGCCTTGGCCATCATAGTCTTACCACATCCAGGCGGCCCGTAGAAGAGAACACCATTGGAAGGAGACATTCTAAACTGTAATCTCTTTATATCATTTACTGGAGGATTTGGGATGTGTTATCCCAATTTACTAATAAGGATTGTCTTATACAAGATTGTACTGCGAGGATGGTGATTGGACTGGATGAACAAAAAGGGAGGTTGTATTTTTTTTGAGACACGAAGTAGGCAGCGGTGCCAGATATTTCTGGTGGTGGATCAACGGACCTGTGGCATAACAGATTGCGGTATCCATCTTTTAAGGTTGTTGGAAAATTATGTAATGTTACTCTTGGTCGTGATGGTAGTTTGCTTGACAAAAGTTGCGATGTTTGTTTTCGCGCAAAAGATGCTAAAATAGGTTTCCTACTAGTGATCGTATTGCTTTGAAACCTTTTCATTTGATTCATTGTGACTTGTGGTGCCTTATAGCGTACCATCATGTTGTGGTGTACGACATTTTTTGACAATTATGGATGATTTTTCTAGAGCAACTTGAATCTACTTTTTAAATGATAAAACTATTGTTTCTGATACTTTGATTGCTTTCTTTGCTAAGGTGCATCATCAATTTAAAATGTTGGTCAAAGTAGTATGCAGTGATGATGGAACTGAATTTCTTTGTCTGCACCATTATTTTCGGGATCATGTCATTCTTCACAAAACTTCTTGTATTGGTACTCCTCAGCAGAATGTCCGTGTGGAATGTAAGCATTGTCACATTCTCAATGTGGCTCATGCTTTACACTTTCAAAGCGATTTGCCTCTTGAATTTTGGGGTCATTGTATTTTGACTGCTGGTTATCTTATTAATTATACACCTTTTTTATATTTTGGGTGGTAGAAGTCCTTTAAAAGCGTTATTTGGTCAAGCACCCACCCTTGATCACTTAAAAGTTTTTTGGTTGTTTGTGTTATACTCATAATCAAGACAAAAAAAAAGAGATAAGTTTGCCAGTCATAGCCGAAAATGTGTGTTTGTTAGTTATCCTTTTGGAAAGAAAGACTGGTATGTATATGACCTTGGGACTAAGACTTTTATAGTTTCTCGTAATGTGAAATTTTATGAAGATGAGTTTCCATATGCTTTGTTGGATGTGTCTGTCTCACCCCCTATAGTTGACACATCTGTGAATTTTTGGCTTGTTATTGCTGATGATGATGATGTTACTGAGGTTGTGGGTTCGTCTCTTTTTGTTGTCATTCCCTCGACTAGTCCTACCTCTAATTTAGTGTTTTCATATGTTCCTGCGAATACTGAGGTCAGAGGGGTTCTGATACTACAGCTTCTAAAGAGTTACTGGGTCATGATCATCGAAATAAAGTTCCTTCTACTCGGCAACGTGATTATGTCATTGATACTATATGGCCCCCACCTACTAGTTCCCCTTCCACTTCATCGTCCTTATGTACTTAGCACATATATGTTAATTGTAATTCTTTTTCAAAAGCACATCAAACTTTTCTGGAAGCTGTTATACTTTCTGTTGAGCATCGTTTATTTGCTGAGGCTATGGCTGATGAGAATAGCAACTTGAGATTCAGGTCCTTGATGAGAGTAATAACCAAAGCAAATGATTCATGAATAATTCTCTATATTTTGCTAAATCTGCTTATGCCGATATTTATCTGGTTCTCTGCGAGCAAACTAACCATGGTTGTTACTCGGGACTTCTTTTCTCAAGGTTTAATATAAGGAAATGAAATCTGTTTTTTCCCCCTTTTGAATGACTTGTGTTGAAAGTTTTTGTTTGAACCTGGACAAAAGCAAGGAAAAAAGTTAGCTTCTTGCACTCACTTTAAGCACTAGACAAATTTGTTTTCCAAGGTATAGATGATCTCATTTCGATACAAACTGTAGTAAGTTTCAACCTTTTGTGACCCCATATACTAACTTTATTAAGTTATTTGTCACCCTGAGATCTCTATTCACTGAAGGATCTAGCTTGTAATCGTGACTTCTTCCAGTCTTGATTCCTTGAAATACTATCTAGGTAATTATTGTTTAGGAGTGTGTTCTTTCCATTTTCGTATTGAAAAAAACCATTTAAGTTTTTTAATTGATGGTATTTTGACGTTCTTATAGGGATTCCAAGATCATATCCGAGTGTTTTTTCCAAGGAGAGAAATATGAAGGAGGTGAGGGCTTCAATACTTATGCCTGAAACAAATTTTTCCCAGAGTTCTAGTGGCTGTTTTAAGGCTGACTTTATTGATATATATCTGTTTGTATTCTCTTTGATGTCTTATATTGGTGGGCTTTTCTTTTATAAAAGAATTTATTTCTTAGATGAATAGGAAACATTAGAATGTCTCATCTACTTCTGTACGATGTAAGAAATTCTTACAACGCAAGCTCTTGGGGTGGAAGATTAGATCTGTTCTTTCATGATATCAGCTTTGAAAGGCCTTGTTTTGCGTGTGGGTTGGATTCACTTCTGTTTAATTTATTCACTTAGAAACTACAGTGTTATCTTTCAATTACAATGGCAGATTGGAAATGTCCGACCTTTGCTTACTTATTGGTAGCATTAGAATGTTACTTCCGAAAGGAAATAGGGATTTTTGTTGGATTTGTCCTGAGTCAAAATATTATCATTATTGCCACTGTTAAAAGGACCTATTGGGTCACACTCAATAGACCAATTGGATTTGGGCTTAAGTCTGGTTATTGATTTAGTAAGGGTCAAAAATTAATTCGTAACTAAATAAATGAGGGTCATATTGGTAATATGACGATTAGGGTTGTGGTTAGGGTTTCACTCCGTAGTAGTCTATAAATAGGTAGTGATGGACAACCCTAAAAAACATATGCCTAAACACTCAGTTAAAATACCAGCTGCCGTCTCAATATCGTCGCTAGCACGCCGATTGAGAGAGTAGCCTGAAGTCAACTCAGTTGGTCGAGTGGATCTCTAATAGAGGAGGACTGCTGGTTGTTTTCCTTTTCTGATTCGCATTAAGTACAAAGTAACCTCGCTGGGAAGGTATTTACTACTATTACTATAGTCTAATTAGCATGGATTCTATGGCTAGGGCTCTAGTAATATTTCCGCTGCATGTTTGTTGATACGCCTAGAACCTAACAGTGGTATCAGAGCCAATTGCGAGTTTGTTACAGTACAATATGCTTGTTTTACAGCGGTATACATATATGAGATATGATTATTGTTTGACGTTACTGTTAGATTTATGTTTGCTGCTTTAAAAGATGGATATGTGAATGTTTATTTGATGACATGTGATACCATGAATAAAATTTGTATGAAAGTATCGTTCTAATTAATAGCATGTTTTAATTGATATGGATTTTTCGAAACTATTGTATGCTTTCCTAAATATATATTTTTCATATATGTATTTCATATGATTATATGACTATCGAGTGTCCAGGTATATATGATTTATTTGACATTATTAGATCTAAGTATATATGCTATATTTTGTATGACTGAAGGTAAGCATAAGTGTTATGCAAATAAACACGTAGCGAGTTATGAAACTACCATTTTCAGAATTGTTTTGAAACGGATGGTTATAAAATTTTGATAAATCGTTGCTAAATAAATCAGTCTGAAAGTGTAAGAATATGAAATAAGACCTCTATTAAATTATATTATGATTCACGAAATTAAAGATTACATACATGTCATATTTTTCCTAATGGTAAAGAGTGTAATCAATTGGTAATTAATTTGTTACCATTGCTAAATATACTCTTTGAGAATGTCAATTAAAAAATATCAAACCATTTGAAGTTTCTGATTTTTTCGTAGAAAAGATATACCAAAAATTTAATTTTTTTAAAAAAAAAATAACTCAATTCTCTCCCCATTTGAAACTAAAAAGAAAATACAAAGATAAAATAAAAAAGGCTTAATTGCACAAGTGAAGCTATCACGGTGTCGCCATTTTGGCGGGGAATGGTTTTTTCTTACCACCTCCGGCACCACCACTCTAACCGAGTCGATCACTAGGAACTGCATGTCCCTAACCTCTGCTTCTTCATCGTGAAACCTTTCAAGTAGACAAGTACATAAACATATCGAATTCGACAAACAATATTTAATCCTCCTCGGAATTTTGCGCATTCAACGAGGACTTTTTTTTTCCATTGTTTTTATCACTATGGAGTTGTGGAAATAGCACACTTCCGGTGTCTAACCTCTCTCCGGCAACGACAAATTTTGTAACAGTTTATTGGTCGTGGGGGTGAATTATGATGAGTCTGGATTGTGCAACTTCAGTGCCAACCTCCGAGAAGAGTGTTACGCATTTAGTCGAGGATGTGGGAGTGGCTATTTAAAACCAGGAAAAGTTCAGCGAAATATGGTGGCGTTGATGGCTTTCACTCTTTCAGGCAGTAGTGCCTTAGATTGCAACTTGAACGGTGGCTGATACGTTGCAGTTCAGCATGAGAACTTGGGGTTAGTAAGCAGCTTTTGTTTTTTGTTTCTTTTATCCTTTGTCCATCAATTTACCCCTCGAATTCTTGTAGAAATTTTCAATGCTCGTTGAGATCCTGCGTTGTGTAGGGAAAATTGAGTTTGTGTTTACAATTACATTATCCTTTTGAACAGTCTTTAATTGGACTAATAGTGATACTGATCGAAGTAGAATTTTTTAGTTACTGGAAAGTAAAGACAAGCTAGCAGAGATGAGATTGTGGATTCGAATGTGCAGGCTACCTAGATCAGATAGAATTATGAAGAATTGATCACGAATACATCATATGAA